TATATATATTTTTTTTTTTTTTCATGTCAAATATGATATTTGTTGCAAAGATGATAAGATTTATATGTGAGCATAGAAAAAACTTTCAGGTGTTTACTGTCCATGTATTGATCAATAGACACCACTGGCTCCAGTTTTACGCCAAGCTGCTTAAAAATATTACAGTACAATACATCTCATGGTCTCCGTCGGCTGATGGTAATAGATGGTATGCACACATTTAGTTTAAAATTCCTAAGGTCCCGGGAGAGGACGCGGCTCCTGCATCTTTGGGGTTGGCGTGCGGTGTAAAAACCACAGCAAATCAAACATGCGGAGCGACCTGCTGTGGTGACCGCTTGTGAATAAGAAAGCAGCTGAAGGCGGCTTTTTCATTTCAAAGGTCAGAAGTGAAATTTACAACATAAATCCTGTTTGCTGAGCTCCTCTTGGGCTTTCGGCCACATCTCACTGTCTTCCTCAGCTGATTGCTTGATTCAAAGTCTTACAGAGGAATACCAGATAGTTAAGAAACGATCCAGTCAAATTCCCCCCGAAGACATTCGTGCATAGACATAATTTTACCTGCTCCATATTCCATATAAACAGTTTGTGGATCTGTTGAGCCTTTCGTTATTCTCTGTCACATACGCACTGCTACATTTGTGGAAGTTCATATTAAACATGGTCAGAGTTTGCACAATCCCTGTGAGCCAAAAGCTCCGCCTTCCCACTGATCTAAAAATTTTATACTATTGACTCTATATGACATCTGAAAGAGGGGATATCCCAAATATGGCCATATAATGCACACAAGCACCACCCACCTGCTGTTCAGACCTGCCAGTAGAACTCTGGCTTTAAAGGGGGAGGAGCTTAAACAGTGTCTTTCAGTCAGGATTATTTCTAATTGTGAATTATGCAAAGCTACACTAGTATAGCCCAATACTAGAAAAACAAAACATCCACATTAACTGTCAACTACAGTGTATGTTGACTTTTTCCAAGGCTTTCGGTTGTGTTTCATGGTCTATATCTGCAGCACTGAAGGTCATGTCCTTGTCTAAAGGTGGCCAAAAGTGCCAAAACAACTGCCGGTGCACCTTGGTGTCATGCACCTTTTGATTTTTGTAAGCCAGCATAGCGGCACTAAGTCTGGCACTAATATCAGCACAAGAGCTCAGACATTCACAGGAGATACGGAGGAAAACTGATTTCTTTGCTTCTGGTTTCAACTGGTTTTACTCCTCATTGAGTGCTGATGCAGAGGTTTTGTCTGAGTGGCGACACATTTCTGCCGTTCTGCAGCAAGCCCAGCTAGTGGTGATGTCATAGGTGGTGTGCAACAACCCTGAAAAAAGGCATTATTGTTGAAACTACTGTTTCAAACTGCCTCTCGTAGTCTTCATCAGACTGATGGGGAGCAAACACTAACAGAAGGATCTTAAGGTGTAGATTAATCATTCCAGGATCTAGACTAAGAGCTTAGATGAAGGGTTCATTCATCCGAAGAGTGACTCAGCGTTTAAGTAATATAAAAATCTCACCTTAGGTTATTGTTCTGGTTGATTTTTTATCCAATCGCATGCTTGTCTCTTCGTTAAGTCATATCTGATCACATTAAACACAGAGCTGAGAGGATTTCATTGAGCGGGACTGGGCAGGTGGAGAAGGAGCCAAACTATTCTTCACTTTGCTTGTAGCACATTAGACGTGACACAAAGAGTAATGAGGGTGAGTAGAGGACAAGACTCTGCTACAGATGTTGTGCGGGCCGTGAGAATCGTCTCTCTGAGCCACCGGCTAATCTGCAGCACATTTCTCTGCTTCAAGGTGCAGTGAATTGATCAGATAAACGGCAGAGCTGAAAACAGCCTCTGTTTTCTCCTCATCTCCTCTTCGCTGTGTTTCATTAAAGTCTGAGTGACTATAACCGCTCCCTGAGGGGTAGCTGCTCTATAGATAGATAGATAGATGGAACTGCGTAACGGCGAGATGTCCATGAGCACAGCGAGACTCCCGCCTCCCCCTTCAGCTTCCAATCTCAGAATCTCATTAAAAAATCCTCGCTGCTCTCACAGACTGGCACTCACAGGCAATCTCCCTGTTTTTATTATTCACTGCATTCCTCTCTGCGCTCTCCAGGGAGAGGAGAATGACTTTTAAAAAGGTTCCCGTTTTGCAGGCAGGGTGCAATGAGTCTGTCCACAGCAGAGATGTGCTCTCTGTTAATCTGCCCCACAAAGGCAGGGGCTTAAAGTTTTTAGCCAGACTGGAAAAAGAGAAGCTGTTTTAGTCCGACTATTTGAACTTGAAAAATAAATCCATGCTGAAAAGGTCAAAAACATTTCACCTGAAGCACAGCGGTGGCTGTCCTTAGATCCAAAAATATATGACTCTGCAAATCTGAATGTTTGATCATAAATAGTGTAGAAAACTTGATTTTCAAGCTCATGTGCACCCCTGAGCTTTATAACATCTAAAAATATCTGACATACTAAGGTTCAAATGCAAAGTAAAACACAAAATTAGGCAATTATAATTCAGGCCTGAATCCACACACTGAGACAAAAGTCTAAAATAGAAACAAAAGGAAAACAGAGACGCTAACAAATCAAAACTGAAGAAAACCAAGGAATGGACGGAAGCCTACAGACTGGAAACAAGGGAAAGCTCAGGAGTAAATATATCCCAAGCGGACGCAGGAGAGCAGAGAGGGAACAGGTGTGGAAGAAGGCACAGGTGGGACAGACGATTACCAAAGAGGAGAGCCAACAAAGCGAGGAAGTAAAACTCACAGGAACGCACAAAGACCACAATCTAACCTAAGTATTTATACTTGTTGCCTTTACTACTTTAGTAATACCACAAAAGTTTTAAAACTATTGTTTACCTGCATAAGAAAAGACACTTTATGTCTGTTGATTTATCAATTTTATTTTTATAAAGTGAAATCAATAAACAAGTGAAAGCCAAGTCAGAAACTTGAGCTCTTTATCCTGCTGCCGAAACTGGTCCCCGAGCAGATTTTGCGTCTCATGCCTTCCGGTATTTGTAGTGGCCAGCAGGGGGCGATTCATCTGGTTACAAAAATAAAGAGGTGGTGGCTACATCTATCTTTGATATGAAGTCCATTGTTATTTAGTCATATTTGGAGGTGGCATTTAGAGGTAAGGTGAAATCGGCAACTTTTTAACAGACTTTTTTTTAGAAATTTGGTGATTTTTATAGGTGTTGTCTTTATGTCCTGGTCACCATTAAAATTCAAGTTAATTTAGGAAAATGCTTGAAAATAAAACTGCCAAAATAAGTGCCCAGAGGTGCTTCAAAGACAGCTGGCAAGTGTTAAGTTTAACATTAACATAGACCCGATTTTCCCTGCATACTACGGAAGAGGATTAGGGCCACTGGAAAAAAAAAAGTGGGAACGTCTTTTTTTTTTTCTTTTATTCTGAGAAAAAAGTCAGAATCCTAAGATTAAAGTCAGAATTCTGACTTTTTTTCTCAGATTTTTTTTTTCCAGTGGCCCTTATCCTCTTCCGTAGCATACCTTTGAATTGTAACACAAGATGAATTATGCACTTCACCTGTGCTTTTAATCTCTTGGCAGATTGGTGTTTGTTATATAAAAAAAAAAAAGTAATTACATTTTCATATATTTAAAAAAAAAAGTCTATTACGTGAAATTAAAAATGTAAGAACTCTTTTAGCTTCCACAGCTTTCTTTGTTTAGTCGTTTTGCCTTCGCCGGGCTTGGATAATGGTACCTCTGGACGACTTGCGGCTCCAAACAAGTGAGAGAAATAGCTTCTGGGTGATGTTAATGCTTCAGACCCAGGGAGAGCTCAGTGAATCAATGAGTTATTTTGGTCTTGGCAGCTCTAATTCATCCACTCAGGCCAGAACACACAGTCCTGGACGCAGCAGCAGCAGCGGCGGCGGCTTCTGTGACCAGAGGCAGCGAGCCAGACATCTTATAAATGACTGTCTCTGGTTCACTGCAGTTGCACAACAACGTAAGGTGCTGCAGAGACGAGCGAGCAGAAGCTGCACTTCCATCAGCTCCCCGGGGCAGACGTCTCCACGATCCCGAATGAGATATCGTCTGGCCGAGCTGAGAAACAGCAAACAGGTGTTTGGGCCGCCGAGAAGGAAATGTGCAGGAGAAGAGCGATCAAACCGTGGGCGAACAAACGGGGTGAAAGGTCATCAGAGAGGGGGTGTGCAGTACCTGCAGCCAACGACAGGAGCAGAGAGCAAAGCCCGGCTCTCGCGTTATAAGTTACAGAGGAGAGTTGCAGAGTTGGTGTCATTTCCTTGGCTTACCACAATCATTTCCTGTGAAGTATTTGCAGGCTCTGAAATTACAGCTTCTTCGCTCAGCAGGGCCCCTTTGTGCCCCAGCTGCAGGCAGAGACGTCATCAGCCAGATCTGAGGTAGATGTGGCATCAGCGTTACCAACACAGCTAAGGGCGAAGGTTTTCCTCAAAGTCGGTTTAGTGTGAGAGCGGTTTCTTAACTTTACCTGCATCCAGCGCAGATTCTCGGCATGTGACTCATGCATAACCCAGTGTGTCATTCAGCTACTTTACTCTAAATAATCCAGATTATTTCCTCTTTATTAGGTTTATCATGATCTTTGCGGCAGTGGATGAAGCATTCTGAAGTTTCCTACAGTATTAACAGGTAGAAAAAATATTCAGTCTTTAGCCACACTGACCTCAGTGCTGTATTTCTGGAGTGCATCTCAGCTGCAGATGTGTCGGCTTCTTGAAACCAGAAGTGACCATATTTGGGTGGAAAGCTGAAGCTGTTTCATTAGCAGCTGAAGATGTAAACAGTTTCCTGGCCACCAGTGACCAGCAGGGGGCAGCCCTCAGCTCCTTCACTCTGTGACACCAGCAAACTGCTAACCCCGATCATCTTAAGCAGGCCGCCTGGAATGATTTTGTTTTAGCTGTAAAACTGTCATTAAAAAAATCAGCTGAGAGCATGAGATTTGGTCTCTTTTTTCAGGACAATTACTTCTTTCAACATCTGGAAGTTGTTTTGCTCTATATGTTTTGCTGTATACTATAAGAGTGTAATCAGCGATTAAGAACATAAACAAAATTAAAATGTTACCGTTTTTACGGAATAAGACCCTCAGAACTTACATGAATAATAGACTGATAAAAAATCCCCCTGGTAGAGCTCCAAAAAACAGTTCCTGCCAAGCTGTAGGCGAAGGCCTGTGCTGGACTGCTGACACTTGTGCTCACCTTTATTTTTCCTGAGTGGATCATAAACCCACTCTGCTCTACAATCCCCCAAAGCCCTGCTTTTTCAGGGGTTGGAAGAGGGCTGGGTAGTGTATGTTTGCTAATGGTGACATGTCATATATGGAATTAAAAAACAAAAACATGGCATGAAACGCTAAAAACAGAGAAAGAATAAAAGAATATTAAAAAAATGACAAAAAAATACCAAAATGTCTGATAAAATGCTCTCTCTCCACATTCATCTTCCCGGGGCCACTGTGACGCGGTGCTTGGGATTACCATAATGCCTCTAATATCCCTGAAAAGTGCAGAGTCACTGTTTTCAGGATCCGTTGGAATTTTTTTACATTGCACAAACTGTTCAAGAGTTATGGTAGTTTAAAGAAACGTTACAGAAACCTGTCGCCAGGCATGGGTTAAGGCTAAAGGGCATAAGGCTCGGGGGCTTTTCCTACTTTTCCCATTAACGATGCACCAAAGTAATTAAATGATAGATTTCTTTCATTTTATACACAAACTTCTCAGAATTTAAGCCCCAAAAGTCATACTGACAGATTACTTTAATTTACTACAGAGGCATTTCTTTATCACTTAGAACAGCGGTCCCCAACCCCTGGGCCTCGGACCGGTACCGGTCTGTGAGTTGTTTGGTACCGGGCCGCGAGAGTTGGGGCTCAGGTGTGAAATGTATGGTTTTCAAACCTTGAATTGTCCAGTAACTCTCAGGGCTTTTACTGGCTTTCCATTCCATCATGTGTGAGTTAAAAACACCAGGACAGTCATGGTGAAAACTCGTGGCTGAGCTCATTAACCAATGGGTGGCATAACAGTAGCCATGGCCGTCCTTTATACTGGCTTGGTTAGCATGCTGCATCCATGAACTGTACGGCTGCAGCAGACACCTGCCAATAAAGACCTCTGCTTCATAAAGAGAAGCTTTGAGGAGAAGCTGTTGGCAGATTTAACAACACAGCAAGCAAAAATATTTCTCAGATAATTCCATTAAAAATGCTCCAAAAGACCCCAAAAAAATCTATAGAATTTTATGTCTATTTTTTAATTTTATTATTTTATGTCTCGATTTTATTACTGTTTAAATCAGGTACTGGTTACACTTTATGACCTTGAACTGTTTCTTTAATGGATTGTTCTGTCTTGTTTGGTGGTGGTTTTCAATTTTGCACTTACCTGGCCTGTGAGACACATCATTTCATCTCATTGTCTTTTAAGATGACTAGAATGACAAATAAAGCGAACTTGAACACTACATTGACACACCTATAATCCTAAGAGTTACAAAGGAAACCAACACTCATACAGTAGATATGAAGGGGAAAATGAGCAGTGAGCTTGAGTTTATTTCTGCTGCTCTAACTTGGACATTTTAACAAGTGAGTCAATAGGGACTGACTTGCCTTTGGAGTCGGCCCCTGCTGGCCACCAGAGGAACTGCAGTTTTGCTTCATTTTCTGCCCAATCTCGACATTTCCCTCTTCTGGCATTTTCTCGTCTTTCCCCGTCAATAAAGGAGAAAGACAAAGATATAAATCCCCAGCAAGTTCAAATAGCTGCCCTCTCCCAGAACTGGAGGTTACTTCCTGTTAAAAGGGAAATTTTTCTTCCCAATGTTGCCAAGTGCTTGTTCAAAGGGGCACATCACTTGTCCTATTTTATTTATTTCCTAACTTGTGAAGCACTTTGATCGAAACTATTGTTTTTAAATGTGCTATATAAATAAATAAATTTTGATTTGATCTGATTGCTGGGTTTCTTTCCAGTCATATGGGGTCTTTAGCATACAATTTAAAGCACTTGAAATGATTTTTGGCACTATAGAAATAAAACTGAATAAATATATATGCTCATCATTAAATGTTCCCCTTAAGTGTTTTTAAATATGTGTTAAAATGAAAGGGAAGGATATACCTTACAAGATGTTTACATTCTTCACTATTATCCTTCCTTGATCTTTAATAATTATAAAATTATCCGTTTATTGCTTTTATTTTGGCCCAGTGATAGACTGCCAACTGTCCATAGACTGTCCTAGGAGTACTCTGCTCCTATTGTCCCCTCAACCCTGAAGTGGATAAGCTGTTAAGCGCATGGATGTCTGATTAATGCAGTGAGTGCAGTAAGAACTAGCAGTTACCTTCCATGTAAATATTAGTAATCAAACAAATGAAATTACACTCAAATGCAGGGGAAAAAATGAGGAAATTCACTACTTCATGAAATCTTTTTAGTTACTTTCCATCACTGTGCTCTTGGTGCTTTATATGCACAGTCATGACTGCACGAAGAGGATCTGTGAAGTGCAGAAAAAGCGTGCAGGAACAACACTGTGTGAGGACACATCTTCATTCACTGCTTCACCCTTCACGTGTGCTCAGCTCCTTCTGACAACATCATGGCTCATTTGTAATTTCGCTTTCAGCCCGTTTGCAGTAAAAGTCATTGTGCGAGCATCCAGGAATAAGCTAATGACCCCTGTGGCTGAAACAGATTAAGCCTTGTCATAGAATAAAATGGTCTTTTGGAGCTTGACAGACTGTAGATTAAACATGCGGTGCATTAATTCACTGCATTGAGGTCGTGGACAGTAATTTATGGCAGCACTTTAAAATCCTCCAGCAGAGTCTAAAACACTTTACAGAGACTGGTTAACGGAGGAGTTCACTGGAGGAAGGACATGTCTCTTTACTGTCTTTTAGCATCTGTTCTTAAAAACAAACCAGCTGCACAGTTTGTTGCAGGCTCTGCTGCAAAGCTGAAGCCCTCTATGGAGCTTTAAAATCAGTCCTTTAACACATCTTAAGGTTTAATTTGAATCAAAAAGACGAATGTTACCAAATAAAACCAAGGGAGGTACAAAAGTACAACATTTATTGCAGAATACAGTTAAGTAAATAGAAATACTTGAGTAAAGTAGAATCTAAGCTGGGGTGCTTCTGCTGTTGGTTTGTTTTCTATCAGTGCAACACTGCCACCTTGTGTTTAAACTGTGGGGGGACAAGGGAAAAGTGAAATTTGGATCTTCTCCAGCTTTGATGGCACCATGCATTTGCTTTGGCTTCACTTCAGTCTATCCACAGTCAGGTTAATTTCTCACCAAGATCTTGCACTGATGAAGCACATCCCAAAGATTCTCAAAGGGGTCAAAGTATGGACTTGATGATTCAAGTGTGAAAATGATGCCTCCTGCTCCCCAAACCACTCTTTCGTGGTTTGATCCCGGTTAATCATTTTCACACACACACACACACACACACACACACACACACACACACACACACACAACACACACACACACACACACACAACACACACACACACACACACACACACACACACACACACACACACACACACACACACACACACACACACAAACACACACACAGACACACAGACACACACATACTCAAACTTTCAGGTTTTAATGTTCTTAACCTGATTTTCAAGTTTAATAAATATTTTTAGTTGCTTCCTTTGCTTCACGGGGCCAATAATTAGACCCTTCTGAAATGTTCTAACAACATTTAATAAGGATCTGTAAAAAACAAAAAAACAAAATCACATTATGTTTTATCGTCCTTGACATTTCTAGTACAACACATACAGTGGCT